CAGAAATGACAGAGCATGCGCTGTTACGCAAAAACCGCGATAGAGTGAAGCCGCGGAAGTCGAAGCGCGAAGTGGCGAGGGTTCACTGTAGTCATAATTGCTGCACCCAGTCCCACACCCAGGCCTAACAAATGGAGCATAGGCTACATCTCAGCCACCCAGGGCACCAGGGTTGGGGGATTACACAAGGAGCACCTTCTGTGTCCTATGTACTTTGCAAACCAAAGATTTTAACGAATGGTACTTTTGAGCTGCTAGGTGAAAGTCTGAAGGTCAGATCCACTCAGCAGCTGGTGGGAATACAGACCGGCAATGTACTCCTTAAAGATTATGGCCTTGGAAACCCCAAAAGGAGGTGCTAAAAGCTGTTATAACATTAACGGAAGGGATCTCAAATCACTGGTGAGTAGTACTGACCCCTGGATTTTTAATTTGAAAGTGGGTGGAAAAATTCAGTACACGAATAAGCTACTTAGGTTTGAGAACTATTAATGCTGATCCATGATGAGGAAGTCTGGTATATTCAAACAACTAATTGAAATCACACGGAGCGATATTCATCAGGATTCTTGGTTGCAAAAACTAAGCAAATACCTAGAATAAAAAAGCGTGGAGAGCTAGGCCTAGAAAGCTTAGAAAATGGACAGCAAGTATGGAAAGTGAAGCACAGTGAAAATTACCTGCTACAGAACTGGCCTGTGTACAACACCCTGAAACTGTCCGCCCTGCATGAAGTGCAATGCTCCCAAGTTCAGCTCCACAGCACCCCCAGCCACAAGGGCCTCTGACTGTCCTCGTGCCTAACTTCCTTCTTCCAGTACCTGCTGCCCTACAAGAACTGTCCCCTTGGGTTTCCAAGATGACACCCAAGCTGCCTTTCATGATGACACCCAGCCTTCACGCTTCCATAGGAAAACCCAGCACCTCTCCCCTTTGGACTTTCCCCAGGGATGGTCCAAATCTGAACAGTCACAAAGACCCTGACTATAGTTGAAATAACACCATAATTACATAGCATTATGTGTTCTACTAAGAACAACAATGGGAAATTTAAACTGTTTATACTTTTATTGTAAAATCCAATGCTTTCCAGTAAATCAATGAATCATAAAGGGTTTGAAACTCAACCATTCTTCAGAATCTTCTGATATCTATAACTGTGACTATATTTAGAGTCTTACAACGGTCCTTCAAATTTCAATATGTAACCCATGTATTTTATTTTACCCTTCCAACCAGAAACATATTTCTGTTTGTTCAAATACTTTTCAAGAGATCCCCATGAAACTCATGCCCTAGTGTACACACAAAAATGGGTGGAAAAGAATGGACAAGGTAAGTGGTTTGAGATACATCAGGTAACACACTTTTTGAAATCCCGAGACACTGCTCTTAGACTAACAAAGGCTCTTTGGCACAGCAGCGAGGACGAGAACATGAATTCTATCTCCACCATTCTTTCTGGCCTCGGTAGTTTCAGCTATAAGTAAGCATAGCACTACACAATAGTTACTGTGATGATGAAGTGTGGTAATGTGGGTAGCATGCCTGCCATATGAATTTATTAATTTTCAATGGACAGACTTATATTTCAACTTTTCTTTAAGACGCGTGCACCTAACAACATTTCTTCCCATCTAAATTAAACACAATCTAAAGGAGAGCCGAAGAGGATGACATAAAAAGATTATAAATAGGGTTAGGAAAAAATAATAATAATAAAAATAAAAAAAACAAAAAGATTATAAAATATGCCCTCAATATCACCACCTGTGTTCAAAACTCTCTGGATTTGAATGTGAATAGTTAGTAT